GCAGGTAATTTACATGATTAATAAATGTAACTTATCAACATTGTTGTTATTAACATGATACATATATATATATATATATATATATATATATATATATATATATATATATATAATATATATATATATATATATATATATGTGTGTGTGTGTGTGTGTGTGTAAAGATGCCCCAGAGACAATCCAGCACATAACAGCAGGATGCAAGATGCTAGCAGGCAGGGCATACATGGAACGCCATAACCAAGTGGCCGGCATAATGTACAGGAACATCTGTGCCGAGTATAACCTGGAAGTCCCGAGGTCAAAATGGGAGATGCCCCCAAGGGTGGTGGAGAATGACCGAGCTAAGATCCCGTGGGACTTCCAGATACAGACGGACAAAATGGTGGTGGCTAACCAACCGGACATAGTGGTGGTAGACAAACAGAAGAAGACGGCCGTAGTGATCGATGTAGCGGTTCCGAATAACAGCAATATCAGGAAGAAGGAACACGAGAAGCTGGAGAAATACCAAGGGCTCAGAGAAGAGTTCGAGAGGATGTGGAGGGTGAAGGTAACGGTGGTCCCCGTGGTAATCGGAGCACTAGGTGCGGTGACTCCCAAGCTAGGCGAGTGGCTCCAGCAGATCCCGGGAACAACATCGGAGATCTCTGTCCAGAAGAGCGCAGTCCTGGGAACAGCTAAGATACTGCGCAGGACCCTCAAGCTCCCAGGCCTCTGGTAGAGGACCCGAGCTTGAAGGATAAACCGCCCGCAGGGGCGTGCTGGGTGTTTTTTTTTATATATATATATATACAGATTTATTTTAAAAAAATTATTAGGTTTTAGCCTATTGATTTATTCAGTACATGTGGGTTGGATTTTTTTGTTGTCATAATTCAACATTTTACTGTTTTTCTTTAACTGGTTTATTTACTTAACTTCTATGTTTGTAACCAGGTTAAAACTGTCATTCATTAAATTGTTTAAATATGTTGAAATATTAAAAATGTTAAAATACATGTTAATATGTAAATGGTTAAATAATGCCTGATAATGGTTAAAGTATTTAGAAAAGTCTTCAAATTCCTTTTAAATGAAGCACAATGTGTTAAATATGTTTAAATGACCATTTGCATTAAATACGGTCAGTTTTACAAGTATCCTGTTTTATCATGAAGAGCTAATGATTGTATGACAAAGTGAGCATGGTTGTGATCGGTAGCTGGGCTGAGAGAAGCAGCAATGGAAAGTACAGTGGGGCAAAAAAGTATTTAGTCAGCCACCGATTGTGCAAGTTCCCCCACCTAAAATGATGACAGAGGTCAGTAATTTGCACCAGAGGTACACTTCAACTGTGAGAGACAGAATGTGAAAAAAAAAATCCATGAATCCACATGGTAGGATCTGTAAAGAATTTATTCGTAAATCAGGGTGGAAAATAAGTATTTGGTCACCTCAAACAAGGAAAATCTCTGGCTCTCACAGACCTGTAACGTCTTCTGTAAGAAGCTTTTCTGTCCCCCACTCGTTACCTGTATGAATGGCACCTGTTTGAACTCATCATCTGTATAAAAGACACCTGTCCACAGCCTCAAACAGTCAGACTCCAAACTCCGCCATGGCCAAGACCAAAGAGCTTTCGAAGGACACCAGGAAAAGTATTGTAGACCTGCACCAGACTGGGAAGAGTGAATCTACAATAGGCAAGCAGCTTGGTGTGAAAAAATCAACTGTGGGAGCAATCATCAGAAAATGGAAGACATACAAGACCACTGATAATCTCCCTCGATCTGGGGCTCCACGCAAGATCTCATCCCGTGGGGTCAAAATGATCATGAGAACGGTGAGCAAAGATCCCAGAACCACACGGGGGGACCTGGTGAATGACCTGCAGAGAGCTGGGACCAAAGTAACAAAGGTCACCATCAGTAACACACTACAACGGCAGGGAATCAAATCCCGCAGTGCCAGACGTGTTCCGCTGCTGAAGCCAGTGCATGTCCAGGCCCGTCTGAAGTTTGCCAGAGAGCACATGGATGATACAGCAGAGGATTGGGAGAATGTCATGTGGTCAGATGAAACCAAAGTAGAACTTTTTGGTATAAACTCAACTCGTCGTGTTTGGAGGAAGACGAATACTGAGTTGCATCCCAAGAACACCATACCTACTGTGAAGCATGGGGGTGGAAACATCATGCTATGGGGCTGTTTTTCTGCCAAGGGGACAGGACGACTGATCCGTGTTAAGGACAGAATGAATGGGGCCATGTATCGTGAGATTCTGAGCCAAAACCTCCTTCCATCAGTGAGAACTTTGAAGATGAAACGAGGCTGGGTCTTCCAACATGACAATGATCCAAAACACACCGCCCGGGCAACAAAGGAGTGGCTCCGTAAGAAGCATTTGAAAGTCCTGGAGTGGCCTAGCCAGTCTCCAGACCTCAACCCCATAGAAAAGTTGAAAGTCCGTGTTGCTCGGCGACAGCCCCAAAACATCACTGCTCTCGAGAAGATCTGCATGGAGGAATGGGCCAAAATACCAGCTACTGTGTGTGCAAACCTGGTAAAGACCTATAGTAAACGTTTGACCTCTGTTATTGCCAACAAAGGTTATGTTACAAAGTATTGAGTTGTATTTTTGTTATTGACCAAATACTTATTTTCCACCCTGATTTACGAATAAATTCTTTACAAATCCTACCATGTGGATTCATGGATTTTTTTTTTCACATTCTGTCTCTCACAGTTGAAGTGTACCTCTGGTGCAAATTACTGACCTCTGTCATCATTTTAAGTGGGGGAACTTGCACAATCGGTGGCTGACTAAATACTTTTTTGCCCCACTGTATGTGAAGTTTGTGCAAATTTGTGCGGACTATATGCTCAACCCTTTGTCAAAAAACTCCTTTTGCAAACTGCCTGTGAGCCGGGGACATTTTTTCTCTAAATCCACTGTGCATGTTTACTTTTGTTTAAGTGTCAAGAGCCTGAGCTGTTTTGGAGATGTCCACTGATCACTTTGGATTCCTTCACACATAACTGTTTCCCATGTTTCCAAAGGGTGGAGAACATGTTTTCTGTACCAGTTATTTTCCTGTAGGTTTTTGGCTCAACAGCTAGTTTGAACTGGAAATACATTTCACCTTTGTATGTGTCTCTAGTTATCAAAAGATGTCTGCACTGACCACATTTGGGCTACAAATAGCCCACACTAGTAATTCAGTAGATGTTTAAAAAGAGACGTTACTTGGTGTTACAAAACAACTCTTTCAGTGGGCCAAATTGGACGTTCGAAAGTGACATATTAAAGATGTCACTCCACTCATTTTACGTAGTGGGGATGCTATGGCCGTGTATCACCTTCCAAAGTCATAATGATAAAACCATCAAAACAAATATCCATTATCACTATTATCATTTTGAACTTTTGCAGGGAGCCACCATCTTTCCTAAACTTGACCTAAAAAATGCTTACCACTTTGCTTGCATTGAGGAGAGAGATGATTACAGAACTGAGACGTTTTGAAAGTCATATCATGCCATTTGGTCTCAGTAATGCTCCCGCTGTTTATCAGGTCCTTGTTAATAATGTACAATTCATGACTACCTGAATTGTTGTGTTTTTGTTTGTCTGGATGATCTCCTCATTTTTTCCAGCAAACTGTCTGAACATGAACCTCAAATCCATCAAGTGTTGCAGTGTTTGCTGGAAAGTAAGCTTTATGTCAACCGTGAGAATTGCAAATTCCGTGTTACAGTTTCTTTCCATTGCTGTGAAAGAGCAGATCAAAGCTGACCCTGCAGACTTTCAAGCTGTTTTGGACTGACCCATTCTACAACTTGTAAACATCTCCTGGGGTTTGACACTGGTTTACCTCAAACCTGCTCATTCTGTTGCCCTCTCCAAATTCCCTTCTGCCCCAGAAACAGCTCAGCTCTTAGTGGACCATGTCTTCTGTCTTCATGTGATGCCTCTGGACATTGCCTCCAACTGTGAGCCACGGTTTACATCATGAGTTTGGAAGGAGTTCTGCTCTATTCTAGGTGCCCAGGCAAGCCTCTCTTCTGGTTCTCACCCACAGACTAACCGATAAATCAAAAGGCCAAATCAGGAGTTGGAAGCAGCTCTCAGTCATGTTGCTTCTTTAAACCAGTCCACCTAGAGCACATAACATACCTGGTAGAATACGTTCATAACTCCATAATATCCCCGGCAACTGGTCTCTCATTTGAGGCATCCCTTGGTTGTCAGCCACCACTGTTTACCACCACAGAACATGAGGTTTTGTTCTGTCTGTTCAACATCATTTTCGTCATTATCACAGCAACCCACGCTGCACTGTTATGGACGAAGGAGCAAAACAAACAACTGGTGGACTGTTGTTGCACTCCTGATCCAAACTACCTGCCCAGTCAAAAGGTTTGGCTTTCTACTAAGCACATATCTCTTAAGACCGACTCCAAGAAACTCACTCCTGGTTACTCTGATTCTTTTGAAAGAGAAGCTCAAAAGGATCAATGTCTACTTGTTTAAGGTTACCTCTCAACATGAAGATATAATATAATCCATGTATCTCAACTAAAACCCAGTTTCTCCAGTCTCAAGGCAAGAAACCAACCAATTTAAATAAACTACCAATTTTGGTTAAAGGGTTAAATGGTTAAATATTCATCCAGAATTATATCAGAAGCTTGCTGGCTCTCACAAACGTCTGGTCAAGGTACGACTTGCTAAATGAAATTAAATCAAATATTGGGGGAGGTATGTGTATATAATTTTGACCGTGCGCATTAGAGAAAATAAAAAATAAATTCAAACTTGTGCACCCAGTTCTTGTTTGTCAACGTCAAACATTCCATCCCATAAAAAGAACAGTTCAATAAAATCATTAAAAGCATCAGAGTTCATGCCCATGATGAGTTTATGTGAACATCTGACCACAACTACGTGTGTCAGAATTGACAGCACAAATCAGTCAGTCTTGACAGGAGAAGGGAAAGAATGTGTGAAAATTTACCTCATCAAAGTGTCGGAGGTAATATGCAACAATGTAAGACAGAAGACTTTTCATGCCGTCCTGTATGCGGAAAGAACACACATAAATTTAGAGGAGTGAAGATGGCAATCAAACAGCATCATTATACAATTTTCCATTAATGCACTGGTCATAACTACATGGCTATAGAAAGAGTGAGCAGGAAAAAAAAGACACAACAGAAACAGAAATATACCAATATACCAAGACCAAGAAATATACAAAGTCTGTCCTAAAAGTCTGCTGAAGTTCTCATTATCATGATTAACTCCTGTCAATATTTGTATTGCTTTTTTTTGACACCATTTCAATTGTCTTTCCATACTCTGAGGATCATTCTTGTGACCAAAATTGCCCTCACTGTCATTGCCACAAAACTGTATTTGGGTGCAGTGGGAAAGACTGATTGGTCTCTAAGTAAACATAACCTTGGTGATATTGCTATTTCAAACATAACAATTTACCTATCTCAATGTAGAGCTTTTTTCCCTGAAAAACCTAAATCTGCCTACATTCTTGAATAGCATTTGTATATGTTCCTGTACCTGATTTCCAACATAGGTCATTGGTTGTTACACTGCGCCTATAAAATTTAGAAGGGGTAAAATAAATCCTATGTATTAATTTAAATTATACAAATTTTTGCTGGGCTTTTTGTGAATTTATCAGGATTTGAGAGTATTCTAGACTACTCCTGTTTTATATCAAAGCCTAAGTCCGTTTGTTAAATGATCCTCAGGTTATTAAAGTAATTATTTGCTAAGTATTTTATAAAACACAGCTGCCTTATACTTCATGTAAGAAAGATCCAGAAAGTCCCTCACTGGGGACTTTAAATTGGCTTTTAACATTTTAATCTCAAATATCTACAAATATCAGTTGTAGATATTTCAAAAACATCACGACTCAAAGGTCCAATTTTATGCTTGCCCCTCTTTCAAGCTATTGTATCCAATACGACCCTCATCTGTACAACAGGACTGTTAAAGAAAAAATCTTCTCTATTAGTAACTGTGTCATGTAAGAGAACACCCCAAAATTGAAACAGGCTTACTAATTCCTTTTCAATTTTGATCCAGCTTAATTTAGAATAATATCCTCTACCATGTTTAGACCCATTCCTCTTGACCTGTGGGAGTATTTCTACAGGCAACATCACTGAGACATAGTTGAACTACCATTTTAATCACAGTAATTTTTTCCACAAAATAAAATTCCATTTTTAATTAATAATCTAGATTTATTATTTATTTGAGTAGGTTTTATACTTGAGGTACTAATTTTTCCAAACCCGGGTTTAAAAGAATCCCTAAATATTTCAAAGCTGAAGATAACCAGTTGAAACTTAATAGAGCAACATTTTTACAGGAGCTGATATAGGCATGCATTTAGATTTGCGCCAGTTATTTTACAGTTAAGATCCTAAATGCATTCAATCGAAGGCAACAAAAGGATCCCAGTGCAGGATTTAGGAGATGAAATGTAAAGTCAAAGGGTATATTTATTAAAGAACTCCTCATCAAAGAAATTGCAAAACAAAGGTGTCAGCTGAGCTGAACAATTCAAGATTACACGGCTCAATGAATATTAACTTTTATTCAGTAAGTTGTAGTTTATTACCTCATAATGGACTACACACATAACATTAGAGTAAGCTTCTATTAAACTGCATTGCTGAATACTGTGAATATATTACATTTAAAAGGCATGGATGCAATCTACAGGACCAAGACTCTTTATTTTAGGATACAGGGACAAAATTATACTTTGTTTTCAGCATTCTGGTTACTTACACTGCTTTTTACATCTTTAAGTTTGGGCAGGATGTCAAGGCTGAAACCATCAGCTTGGCCTCTGGTTCGATTGCCACCATTCATGAAGTTACCAAAGGCCAGAATCAGACCTAGAATCTTCTTCACTGTTTCACTGTCCTGTATTACCTGTAAAACGAGATCAAACAGACAGAAAGAAGAAATCATGTGACTGTACTGATTATACATTAGGTAGAATTATTACTTTTCACAATTTTGAAAGCATTTTTTCAACAAGAAACACTTTTCAGGCTTTTACGCTGCACTGCTTTTTTTATACGTGCAAAGTTGTTCTGTTTAAGTTTCCTCATTTCTGACTTTATGCTAATAATGAAAACACCTTTTCATGAATGTGTATTATTCATTATCCTGAAACAAATGATTCATAACCAGATCTAATAGCCCTGTTCTTAAACTATATAAATCTATGGGTATATACATGGACTTGGAGCATGTTTGTCCAAACTTCAAAGATTTGGACATACATGCATACATGGGTATGCAGTTATTGTGTTTTGCTCTTCACAGTTTGACTCACCTTGCATACCCTCTGCAGTGTGTCCAGTTTTCTTGTGATAGATGACATGCACTCACAAAAGCTGGACTGGAAAAGGATGCAGAAAACTCTACTGTTGAAATTTGGGATCAAGGTGAGCTGGTAGAGAAATCTTTAATGCAGAAGAAGCAGAAAGAGCATAGCATTAGGGGTAGTTTTTCGTGATCGATTTATCGATTTAAATTGATTCTGGCTTGAATAACGTGATATCGATTCATTAAAATCCTGAATCAATTTTTAAATATAAATTTATTTTGCCCGAAACAGCAAAATCTCAGGTTAAACCTTACAAAATTTCTACAACCACCAAACAGCTAAAACAGTATATAAGAGCAGGTACACAGATTCTGCACAAAGAGGTAAACACAAAACACGGACCCGAAGCATCCGAATCAGACAGCATGTACACGGACACGCCGTTGGGGCTGAAAGCCGACAGCTCACTGATTTTGAAGCGTCGGCGGGCGCTTTGTGTTTACGTCCTTTTTGTGCTAGATTCTGAAGCTGCAGGTTTTATCTCTCTCCAAACAATATTGACTTAACCAGCAGCCAAAGACAATCCAAACCACGCTTCACATTTCGCTTCACATAAACATCGTCACGAATTTCCTCTTACTTTTGCTGCTTTGCTTCCACCACGATAAAATCACAGGAATTTCCCATTTAAAAATCTCTGTTTTTTGCATTATCCGCTTACTTATTATCCACCAGCCGCTGTTTTTTTTTTAACTTACTTCCGACAAGAAAGCCTCAATTCTGCTGTTCAATACTGAACAAATGTAAACAAATTATGCAAAATTGCAAAATGCTTAGCTGTGTCTCTAATCAAACCTCTGTAACTTTGCTCTGCTTCACTTCGTTTTTGACTGCACAATATTTTTAAGGTCATCTGCTATAAAAACCCAGACCAGGAAAGTCGCCTTCATGTTTTTCTGTGTTTTATCCTCAGTTACTTTGACACAAAGGCCTCTGCTGTGATGCTCACACCTTTGATAAAGTCTCACAAGTGTCAGCTTTCTTTTTATAGATATAAAAATATCGCTATGTACTGATAAGTGATCAGAATTATAATATTTCTGACTGTCTGAGGCAAAATTTCCCCGATTCAAATCAAATCAAACCGAATCGTGGATCGAATCGATTCGGGACCTTGTGAATCGGAATTGAATCGATTCTAGAAATCAGCGATGATACCCAGGCCTACATAGCATTTACAGTACCTATATAATTACTTGTAAACTTGGTACAACCCTGCCCTTATATACTAACAAGTGAGAATATTTAATATTTACTGTAATTTGTCTAAGAATCTTGTGTTTGAGATGCGTATCAGTGTTTTAGTTTTGCAGGTAAAGCAGAGGATTCAGTGCTGAACTTTGGAAGTCTTGTGTATCCTGCCCCGTTTCAGATTATCTGGCTGGCATTTAAGGATTCAGCAAATAATAACAATAATATCTATCAATTCAATTCAATTCCACACATTCTCTTTCACTTATCCTTAACCGGGTTGCGGGGGGGCTGGAGCCTATCAGAGCTGTCACAGAGCGAGAGGTGGGGTGCAGGTCATCAGTTTATCACAGGGATAACACATAGAGACAGACAATCACTCACATTCACACCTATGGGCAATTTAGAATCACCAGTTCGCCAGTCCAGATTAATATATTACTCCTAACTACAGTTTTTAAAACTCTGAAACTTCCATTCTAACCAACATGGCATTGTCCCTGAGAGGCAAGGGACAGGACCCAAACAGGATCACAATAAAGATAAAGGCGAGAACTTTGCTAGACCCGCCCCGGCCCAGTTACCAGCCGTCAGCTACATAGAAAAGGATCCTGGTGTTATTTGTCTCTCAGAAACAGTTCATAACTTCCCTCCAACTTATTCATGTCACCTAAAAGGTAAACCTGTTTCTAGTGATGTGACGTTCTGTATCGAGGCTTCGAAGCTTGTGTCGACTAATGGAGGGGGCGTTTCCGCAATGCGCGTATCGAGGCTTGCTTCATTTATGGGAGGAGCTGAAAATGATGACGTGCGAAGCCTCGCTGCCCGGCTGTACCACGTGACTGGTTCATGAAGTGGTTCGAACTTTGCCGCGAGCTATGACAGCGATATAAACCCCTCAGACTTCATTCAAAATGTGGGTGTTTGATGCAGAGTTGCGGTTAGTGAGAGTTTGGAGACAGTTTGGAGGTTTATGAGAGTGAGGAGAGAAAGTCAGGAGAGAATGGAGCCAGCTAAGAAGAGGAGGATGTCCTCCCCTGTGTGGGAACATTTTGATTTTATTCCTCCCAACAAGGTATGTAAATTTCTACAGAAGATGTATTTTCATAATACTGATGCTGCAATAAAACTTATGTTAAGCTGTCTTTACTTGTGTACAAGGTGAAGTGTTTGCTATGTGCCAGGGAGCTGGGATATAACAACACCTCATCCATGCTTAGGCACTACAGAGCTTTGCATGAGAATAAGGGGAACACTGATTGTGGAGCAAGACCAGGTGAGCCATCAAATGCCATGATACTATAGCATGCTGTAATGTTACTAAATGATATAACAATATTATACAACTGTTATAAGTTACGTGTGTGATATTTATATCTGTGCTTTATCTTTATTGTCTTTCCTCAGGAGAACAATCTCAAATAGATGAAGACCTGGTCAGCATGGTGATTGAGGACTCCCAGCCATTTAGCATTGTGGAGGACAAAGGATTCAAAAGATTTGTTAAATCATTAAATCTTAGCTATGTTCTCTCCACTAAAGGTTATAAAAGCAGTGAAAATTTAGTTTTTACAGAATAAAATGTGAACAGGCAGGACTGTGTAGCTGTTCATACCTCAATGTTACAAAAGCACAACCACTGTCCACACATTACCTCACAGTAAATGATCGTTTCCATTTTAAGCATTTCCAAATGATCATTTTCCATACTGCCAGTATAAATATACACAGTACACTGCATCACTGCAATATAGGTGCTTTACACACTCCTTTTGTTGTTGACATTTACAGGCTGTGTGCAAAAGGCCACACTCTTCAAATTCATGCCAATTAATATTTTTACGTCCAGTAATTGTCCTACTAGAGTAAATGAAGCTTCAAGAAGCTTTGCGCTGGGATGAACCAATTGGATGAAAAGCTTCAGTGCTTCATGAAGCTTCATCTGCCCATCACTACCTGTTTCTCCATCACCTGTTCAGCTCTGATGATTCAGTAACCAAACCGACATCATGACCAGCAGCTTTACAGCTGTGGCTCCAGCAAACATCAGCTGATACTAGAAACTAATATTAAATAAATTCTAACAACAGCTGATCAAGCTTAAACATGCTGCTGTTGTTTAGCGCGACATCTGGCGCAAAGTGGGCGATAAACAAACAAGAGAGAAAAGCCGATCAGCTGACCTTTGATCAGTTTCATTATTAAAGTAGCAACAGGAGAGGGAGAGAATGAGAGGAGAAGAAGAGGCCGCTGTGCAGCAGAATAACTCCACCTCTGTGTCTTTTTCCATCCTAGCTGAAGTCCAGGACAAACTGCGTCCCTTCTCAGCTCAACACGAAACGCGTAATAATTTCTCTGAATGCGGGACGATTCTGTCTTTTTACAGGACGGTAGGCAACTCTACTAACTAACCTTATGAATAAAATAACGTTCACTATCAGTAACACCGTAGCACCCACCCAGCTGTATAGAAACTACTAGCAATAACATATAACATGCTAGCTAGTACGCAGTACGAGTTATTGTAACTGACTGTAAAAAGTCAGCACAACGAAAATAAACTCCACCTAAACTTGGTTTATATGTGACCCAGATAGACTGCAGGTCAGAACTTCTTACCTGAAGTTCAGTTCACCTGACAGTCAGACCGACGGCTGCCTCCCCTCTCCCTGATCCACCTGCCGGCCTCCACCACTTGCTAATGTTACTGAATCTGTGGAAGCTCCGCGATGCCACCACCAAACAACTGAGTTATTTTTACACACCGGCCAGCATCTGGCCAATCCACCACCTTTCATTGTTTATACCGGTAAATGCCCGGTATGCCCGATGGCTAGTCCAGCTATGGTTGTGCCATCAGTTAACCCTGCCTAGGGTTGCCGACCCCTGATTTAAGTAAACTGATAACAAATTCAAGTTCAACACTTGTAATCAGCGCTAGATGTTTTTAACCTAATCGTGAAGTAATGGTTGAATACTCGTCACCTTATCATTCAAACTTTCCAAACTCTTTTGGGACTCTCTGTTAGGATGCCTGGGTCGTTGACCCAGGGTTTTTGAGTTTATTATATTATTTATAATTTCTAGTCTTTGGGTTTTTGTTAGAGTTCTGTCTTATGGTTTGTCTCTGTGTAATCCTTAGTTGCTGTCTCCCCTGTCCACTATATCCCCGTGTCCAGTCAGTGTCTGTGTCTGCCCTGGTCCCACATCTCTGTTCCCTCTGTTCCCCAGTGCGTGTCTTTAGTTCAGTCTGTGTCATGTTTCCTGTTTTATTTTGAAGGTCCTTGTCTGATGTTAATGTATCTGGTTTCGCTTCCCCTTGTCTGGTTAGGCCTGATTTGCCCAGCTGTGTTTCCCTCCTGTTGTCCATTCCCTGATTGCTCCCTCTGTGTATTTAAGCCCTGTGTTTCAGTTTGTCATTGTCGTGATCTACTCTTATCTACCCTCATGTATGCTGTGTGTTTTGTTTTTGTCCTGCCTGCATTAATGTTTGTTACTTTGAGTTCACGTCTGTCTCCGGAGTCTGCACACAGCCGTCACATAACACTCTCAGAATGGAGGACTATACACAAAAATGACCTTAATTCCCAATCAGTTAAAAAGATGTTTTTTTTGCTAAATCCCATGAATTAATGTTTAAAGCACTTCAATCAGTGTTCAGTATCTGATTTAAAATCAACTGTGGGAGTATACATGGTAAATGGACTGGTTTTTATGTAGCGCTTTTCTACTGTATCTGAGTACTCAAAGCGCTTTTACACAACTTGCCATATTCACCCATTCACACAAGCACTTTTTTATGTGCTTTCTATGTAACATTCACACACACTCACAGTAGATTAATTGGAGAGTAACTTAGTTAGTATCTTGCCAAAGGATATTTGGCATACAGACTGGAGCAGATAGGATTTGAACCACCAACCTTGCCATTAGTAGATGACCTGCTCTGATGAAAAAAAGTCTGCCTTCACCATAATTCTTCCTGAGTCAGTGAGATTGTAACTCATGAAATAAACCTGCTCATTATCGTGGAAGTGTTAGAGTAATCACTCACTGTTCTGGTTTGTCCAGGGGCTTGGCATTCTCTTTGTCTTTAGTGGACTTTATGTGCTTTTCGATCTTGTCCAATTCTTCCTGTTGTGCTCTCTGTGGGAGAGACACAAGAGATCTGGCTCCATGTCTTCTATAATTTATATAGAAAATAAAACTAAGGCAACATCTGAGCAGATCTAAAACAAACAAAAAAGGATGTATGACTAGAGTCTAGACTCTTTTGAAAAAAAGTTTGATACTCAGTGAACTCTTCTGGCATAATAATAATAAAATGTGAATGACATGCATGAAGGCACTCAGTTTAAACTTATACACCCTGTTTTAACTCATAGACATCTTTTCTGCTGACTGTTGAACTGGTAGCAGGAAATACACATCTGCAGTCTTTTTCTATTTGTTTGGTTAGTTTTAAGCAAAGACACACATAAATATCAGGTTAACATTATTTGGGGTATATATGTAATATCAATCGATTTGACATACCCAATAAACATTTTTTTCACAGCTTATCTGTTGGATGTTAACAGTTATTTTAGAGCCTGTCCATCCACTTTGACTTACATCTGACTCTGCATCACCTCACTACCGCTCTCGTTTTATCATGACTGGGACATCTAGTAACATTAATGATTATGATCGGAACAAAAGTAGAATAATAAACTGCCCTTCAATGGGATTAGATTATCTGAAAGATTTGACAAGCAGTAATGTAAATATAACATTAAGGTGTGTCCCAGAACAGTGAACTACCTGGTGTATTTGACAATATGTTGGAAAAATCTGTCCCAAATACACAGTCTTCCTTGACAGGTAGTGTTCATCATTGCAGACCTGGTCTGGTTTAATTGCTGCATTACTAGACAAGAAATCAACATTCAGCCTTTTGTAGACATTGGACCAATAAGGATTTAAGGGCCTCAGATCTCTAGAAGCAAACAATAAAAACTGAGTGTGAAGCTCACATTTTCATACAGGGCCTGCAGGGTCTCCAGGTCAACTACAGTGTTGTCCAAGTTCAGGATGGCTAGGAGACAAAGAGCAATTGGTTACTGATCACCAGTGTTGGGGAGTAACGGAATACATGTACCGCCTTTACGTATTTAAAATACAAAATATGAGTTACTGTATTCCGTTACAGTTACCGTTTAAAAAGGTGGTATTCAGAATACAGTTACTTTGTTGAAATGAATGGATTACACGGTGGTATTTTCCTGTTTCATAAGACTATGAACTCCATATTTTTGAATTTCCACGCCGGTGGAAACCCAAACAAAACACGCATTAAGAGGCTCTAATGACTGTGTCTCAATCTCGCAGCCCATGTCACCTCTACTTGTGGCTCGCATAATGATGTGAAGAAATACTTTTAAAAATATATCCATCCATCCATTCGCTTATCCTTTTCAGGGTCGCGGGGGGCGCTGGAGCCTATCCCAGCTGTCATAGGGCGAAAGGCAGGGTACACCCTGGACAGGTCGCCAGTCTGTCACAGGGCCAACACACAGGGACAGACAACCATTCACACTCACTCGCACATTCACACCTAGTGGCAATTTGGATTAATCAATTAACCTATCCCCACAAGCTGCATGTCTTTGGACGGTGGGAGGAAGCCGGAGTACCCGGAGGGAACCCACACAAACACGGGGAGAACATGCTAACTCCACACAGAAAGACCCCGGCCTGATGGTGGAATTGACCTCAGGACCTTCTTGCTGTGCGGCAACAGTGCTAACCACCATGCCACCGTGCTGCTATCTTTAAAAATTATTCACAAAAATTATTTAATATGAAGTCAATAGGCAGAGTGTTACAGGCATAGCCCTAAAGGATGTAGCCTCATGGGTAGTGTAGTCCATGCTGCAGAGAGAATGGCCTGCCATACCCGTTATGTGTTTGTGAGCGTGAGGGAGGGAGAAAAAGGAGAGTCAAAAAGTACGAGTTGTCACCGAGCAGAAACGGGAGATGGAAGCATGTATATATATATATATATATATACATACATACACAAAGTTGACCCAGACAACAAAGTAAAGCTAGTTTTCAGCTATGAGCCTGACATGGAGGTCCCTTTACTACAGTTTGGAGCCGCGGACCTGTTTTATATACGCGTGGAAGAGTTTTCTATACGAGATCGCTGCAAAAAGTGCAGCCTTACCTAATGTCCACCTACTGTTGCTCATTTTATATTAAGATTTAAAAATCTAGTCGGTATTGGTATGGCGAGTAACTTTCAGTAATAGTAATAAATCACACAGCAATAGTACATTCATGTAATTGTAAAAAGCATGATAATATATTAAGAAATCCAAAGTATTCAGAATATGTTACTCTCATTGAGTAACTTAACAGAATATGTTACAAAATACATTTTGGGGCATGTATTCTGTAATCTGTAGTGGAATACATTTTAAAAGTAACCTTCCCAACACTGCTGATCACTCCATTCAAAACTTGACAAGTTGAGGAAAAAACTCAAACTCCCAAGAACTTAAATAATGCCCAGGAAATTTTTAAACAACTAATTATTAACTAAAGATGTATTTCCTGCATTTTCAAAATTCACATTTACAAATGTGGCCATTTCACTATTAAACATATTTACTTAGGGATCAATAAAGTATGCTGATTCTGATTATCATTATTGTGCATGAAATAAATTAACAAATGGCATGAACATTTTTACTACCAAGTACAAGTTTTAGAGAAGCTTGCACCTTTGTGTGACTGTTTTCTGAGAGAGAAAAGTAAAGTAGGCTCTTTTTACCTTACAATATAAAGTGCCTTGAAGCAACTGTTGTTGTGAAATGAACTGAATTAAACCAGATGCTTCTGAACTCATTTGAAAAACCACCTGCTGTATTTGACATAGATTGCCATGTTTGAAAAAAAAAACAACAAAAAACTAGCAACTAAATTGAAGCACGTTGAGCCTAAGAAGTAAAAAAGGCTAAAAGAAAACTGTTCCTGCTACCTGATGCCTGGAAAGGTTATCTGGAAAATCATTTAAAACCTGCATACCACACTAAAAAAATTTTCTAGATTGTTTTCTAAATCTAAATTGTTATAGGAATTAGACAGTAAATGAACCCAATATACAATGGCTAATTGCATTATTTGAATTAACACTGCCCAATCAACTGTGGAACTCACCATGGTGGATATCTTTCATGTCAAGGTGCAGAGATGACATGAGGATTCCTACAGCCTGAGAACGCTTATTGTTTAGGAGCTTAACAACCTAAAACAAAAATAAAACAGGAAAATCAGACAGGTTAGATGCTTTCATAGGAAGTGGAGTGTAATGTAATGTACTATATCTATACTATATAATCTAAGAATAAATTGAAAGAATTATTAAAAGCTCCAGAAGAGAAGGCGTTTGGAAAGGGAGGGGGATGAGTGTGTATGAGTGTGTATGAGTGTATGTGTATGCATGTGTGTGTCCTGAGTTTAGGTGAGAGAGTGTCCTTCGCCCTGCCAGGCTAAGTAAACAGTCTTCCAGCCAACCCAGGTGGCCTTGCATAGGGGAGGAACAGTCTAAACACTGTCTGTTCTCAGGGTGACAATTTGTTTTGTTTGCCTTGAGACCACAGCTGGCGCCGATATACAGGGTGGGCCATTGCTATGGATACACCGTAATAAAATGGGAATGGTAGGTGATATTAAAGTCCTGTTTGTGGCACATTAGTATATGTGAGGGGGCAAACTCCTCAAGATGGGCGGTGACCATGGTGGCCATTTAGAAGTCAGCCATCTTGGATACAACTTTTGTTTCGTTAATAGGAAGAGGGCCATGTGACACATCAAACTTATTGGTAATGTCACAAGAAAAACAATGGTGTGCTTGGTTTCAACGTAACTTTATTCTTTCATGACTTATTTACAAGTTTCTGACCACTTATAAAATGTGTTCAATGTGCTGCCCATTGTGTTGGATTGTCAATGCAACCCTCTTCTCCCACTCTTCACACACTGATAGCAACACCGCAGGAGAAATGCCAGCACAGGCATCCAGTATCTGTAGTTTCAGGTGCTGCACATCTCGTATCTTCACACCATAGACAATTGCCTTCAGATGACCCCAAAGATAAAAGTCTAAGGGGGTCAGATCGGGAGACCTTAGGGGCCATTCAACTGGCCCACGACGACCAATCCACTTTCCAGGAAACTGTTCATCTAGGAATGCTCGGACCTGGCACCCATAATGTGGTGGTGCACCATCTTGCTGGAAAAACTCAGGGAACGTGCCAGCTTCAGCGCATAAAGAGGGAAACACATCATCATGTAGCAATTTCAAATATCCAGTGGCCTTGAGGTTCCCATTGATGAAGAATGGACCCACTATCGTTGTACCCCATAAACAGTTTTGGAGGGATCCATTTAATGTGGGTTAGTGTCAGACCAATAGCGGTGGTTTTGTTTGTTAACGTCACCATTCACATAAAAGTTTGCCTCATCACTGAACAAAATCTTCTGCCTGAACTGAGGGTCCTGTTCCAATTTTTGTTTTGCCATTCTGCAAATTCTGTGCGCCGATCTGGGTCATCCTCGTTGAGATGCTGCAGTAGCTGGAGTTTGTAAGGGTGCCATTTGTGAGTAGCTAATATCCGCCAAAGGGATGTTCGACTAATGCCACTCTCCAGTGACATGCGGTGAGTGCTACGCTGTGGGCTCTTGCTGAATGAAGCTAGGACAGCCACTGATGTTTCTTCATCAGTGACAGTTTTCTTGCGTCCACATTTTGGCAAATCCAACACTGAACCAGTTTCACGAAACTTAGCAAGCAGTTTGCTAACTGTAGCATGGGAGATGGGTGGTCTCGTAGGGTTACTGCGTTCACCAGATATCAACACAATTTCGATCCGCTCCTCACGTGTTAACCTCTTCGACATGTCAATGGCTGTGAACAAAGAGAAACTTGTAAATAAGTCATGAAAGAATAAAGTTACGTTGAAACCAAGCTCACCATTGTTTTTCTTGTGACATTACCAATAAGTTTGATGTGTCACATGGCCCTCTTCCTATTGAAAAAACAAAAGTTGTATCCAAGATGGCCGACTTCTAAATGGCCACCATGGTCACCACCCATCTTGAGGAGTTTGCCCCCTCACATATACTAATGTGCCACAAACAGGACTTTAATATCACCAACCATTCCCATGTTATTACGGTGTATCCATATAAATGGCCCACCCTGTAGTAGCCACATGAAATGATGGTGGTATTCCTTTATTGCGAACAACTGCATGTCAATTTCACAGTCGATCAAGCAGTCCGACACTGGTCTCTCAATCTCCCGTTGGAGAGCCGTGAGCTTCTCCGAGATGTTATCCATTTTTTGCTCAGAGATCTTAGTCTGAGTGCTCACGCTAGCCTCAAGCTTCTCCAAGATCTTATCCGGGCAGCGTTTAATGAGCCCATTTTGAGAAGTCACGACTCGTCCGATCGCTTCAGTCACAGCGGGCAGCCATGTGGGCTTTTGAACAGCCCATTCCGCTTTCTTTAATCTTCGATAAGCCAGGGCCAAGCCAGCTCCAATCAGCAAGAACCCTGTTATCATGATTCCGAAAAGGTAGATGTCTTCAATGTCCTCGATTGACAGTCCCGCCAGGCACACGTCCCTCCAGTTATGCCACCGGCCCATCGTGTATCAGGCAGGGGACATCCCTCCAGGACACTCAGGCTCACCCGAGCCCCGGCTTCTCGTTGAGAAGAGTGTGTCAATTGCATTCAGGGACCAGTTGATCAAATCCATAATTCCTCTTTTAGGTTTTAGAGAACAGACTGTGAGAGTTTTTCAGGGCAACAGTAGAAAAGTAGGTGAGGCTAGACAAGGACACGAGAAGCCGGGAAAGGGAGAGGAGGAGAAAAGTGTGACCGCCTTCATCGAGAGACAGAGAAAGAGGGACTTCTGGATGTCAGCCACTTCCTCTATCTGCAGCTCAGACGTCACCCAGACAAGGTCTGCATCAGGTGTTGAGGAACCAGGACATACTGATGAAAAGTGGAACAAGACAGCATAAGTGGGCAAGAGATGAAAATAGTGTACTGGGGGGTACCAAGCCCCAAGTGCAATGGAATAAGGATCAATGAGTGCAAGAAGAACTGACCTGAAAGATAAGATCCCTACCCTGCTGGGGTAATAAGCTGGCCAAAGGAGGAGATAGAATCCACTGACATTAAGACAAAGAAGCTCCTGACCATGCTTGGAGGGTTTCACCCCAAGTCCAGCACCCTGAGGCTGTATGTTAAGTAGAAGGAAGGAGGCTGGGGACTAGTGAGGGTCAGCACCACGGTCCAGGATGAAACAAAGAACACGAGTACATCAGGAAGATGGCCACAACCAACCACGTGCTCAGTGAATACCTTAGGCAGCAGAAACCCAAGAAAGAAGATGAGCAAGAGGAGGAACCATCAATGAAGGACAGGCCCCTGCATGGTATGTACCACCGGCAGTCGCTGACATCCAGAACCAGTGGCTGGACTGAAAGAAAGCACAGAGGCACTAACCATGGCAGCACAGGAACAAGCTCTAAGTAAAAGATCCATAAAGGCTGGGGTCCATCACACCAGGCAAGATACCAGGTGCATGCTGTGGAAATAAGCCCCTGAGAGAATCCAGCAGATAACAACAGCAGGGGACAGTAGAATGTCATAACCAAGTGACTGGCACAAATTACACATGGCCACACTGAATATGGCCTGCAAGTACTAAGGTCAAAATGGGACACGGGACAAAATCACCAAGCTAAGAAACTGTGAGTGTGTGTGTGTCTAAAAACGATGTGCCGGGAGTCTGCTGTTCTCGCCGGCTCTAGTGACCCTTGACCTCCCAGCTAGCTATCGAGCTGGTGGGTAACAGACGTCTCCGAAAACGTTGGAGCACTTTTGCAAATATGTGATGTCTTGATAAACCAAACAGATATTTGAAGTTTGCACAGCTACATTCTCACCTGAAAATATGTTAAAGTTTATTTTGTGACCCAGAAACAGTAATAAGAGTAATATTAAAACTAAGTAGCTGCCACCATTGTTGGAAACTGGACTTGGCCAGGCTGCACTATGAATTCTGGGATAGGTTGGGCCACGAAGGATACACCCGACCCATCCTTCAAATCCAGGGAAAGGAAGGATGCATTTGTCGGCCACATTTGGAGCAACCTTCTAATTAGGACTGCCTTCGTTGCCTGGCTGTGACATAATCAGCCTTCAAATGTGGCCTCCGAAGGATGCAACCTAGGTTTTGGGACATAGCTGTTGTTTCAGAGTTTTACGTTAAGTGGTTAGGTTTGTTTACATTTGGCTTCCAGATGCTGCACAGATTCAGAATTTTTTTACCACCACTCAACACCACTGATCGGCACAATAGAATCTAGACTTTACTTTTGTATATTCTGTTCACTCTGTCAGCTGTTTAATGACTGCTGCTGATTTATGAAACATGCCCACATTATTCTGTGATAGTAACAGTTTAACGTGGGCAGCTGCCTGCTTAATATAATGTAACATTGCTGCAATATTCTCCACAAAACAAGCAAATATACTTTGTTTCCTTAGCTCACAGCTTCTGGACATTGTGTTTAACCTCAGATCGACTTATCTGAATAAAAATTGACAAATGGAAATGCCTTAAAAGGAGTTAAGTGTTAAGTCAGAATTTTTGTACTGTGTACCCTGCCTCCATCTGACAGCAGCACCCTGTTCTGCTTTAAGTGGAATTTATGGTCGGGCAGAGAGAGCATGTTTGCTCTCTGCTCCACTCCAGGGCCTGCCCATTTACCAGCTCTGTTGTCAGACAGAGGCAGTGTACACGGTATGTTTTTCAGCTAATGACTGTGTGAAAGATAATATAGATATAAACATTTTCTACACTCATTGGTTGCAACCATTGTCCGTGAGCCAACCGCAAAGGGCAACAAAGTTATAACATCCAAAGAGCTGAAGTGAAAACAAGTGTTTAAAAAAAGAAAAGTGTGCACTCCAGCCAAGGTCTGTGCTTTTCATGATTTTTTTTTTTGAGCTTTCCCTGTTCCCAGTGAATTCTGCTATTGCTCCCCTTTCTATTCTGGCCCACTTGTCAACCAATCAAATTTTGGCTGTCGCATACATCATCCGATTCCAACTGTGGTTACTTTTTAGAAATAAAAGACAAAATTAGATTTTAGTACTTTAAAATAGTATTTTGTTAATACTGATACTTCAATATCTTGATGCTGAAATCTTAGTTGGGCCAACAGTGTAGTGACAACAAGAGCTGTGGACTATAATGTACATTAGGGGTTAAAGTGAGCCAAATATTGGATCTGGTGCATTTATGTTACATTATATCAAGGATAGCAGACATTAGTTTAAATTCAAGGTGATAATGCTGATCAGATTCAGTCACTTTGTTCTACCTTTTATAGTAGCTGATGGGGTGGAAATCAGCCATATAGCTCTCTGTTTAAAACCTAATGAATTCACTAGGCAACACAGGTCATTAAATCCCCTTACAAATATGTGACCTAACAGGATTTCTAAGATGTACAAATTGTAGAACACAGTGTAAACTATGAAGTGATAAGATAGTTTCAAATTTAGTGAAATACAATGTTTTTGTTGTTTTTTTAAAGATGCGTTTCAAAAACACTATAATATGGCTTAAGTGAGTTATTGCATGTTTCTGGATTATGTACGTTTAGATTCATCTGAAGACGAGGGAGCACGTTTTTCAGCTCAGAGGATTTAAAATGTAATTAAACACAACACCTGTTTAGCCTTGGATTTGGTTATGGTGTCAGACAGTGGCTGCTTCTTCTCCTTCACGGCTGTTTTCGAGAACAATTCCACAAACTCTTGAAAGTCTACGTTGGGCTCCTCAATTGTTTCCCACACAAGTGAAGATGACATGTCCCTGAGAAACACAAAACAGCACCACTTATTATGTCAATGAAGCACTTTGTTTGATGTGTTTTGAACAGTGAAATATAAAGCAAGAACATTGTTGTGAGCATTTTGATCATGAAATAGTGAGTCATGATCCGGGAATACAGAAGTTGTGCTTGATCACAGGCTTGGTCATGTAGTAACAGGGTTGTCACAATAACTTTGTTGATAGCATATGTGCAGTTGAAAATTAACTCTTTATACTATGTCAATATAGCGCATAGCTTTGGTCTTTTCATGAGTTGGCAATTAAAACACCATCATCATCATATTGTTGAGATAATGATGTCTAAGAATGTCTTTACCAGAATAAAAAAAAAACCCAAAACATAATGATAATGTATCATAATGATTTTTTCATCATTATAACACAGTTAGGCCCATAAGTATTTGGACAATTGACCATTTCTTTGTAATTCTGCCTGGGTATAGCAATCAACATTTATTAATGTCACAAAACATATGGACCTAAATGTACATGTTACTTTCTTTACTTCTTGGTGTGGAGCTGGATCCTGGTCCAATAGAGAGGCTTCATGGGTCTTGGTGGCTCTAACAAGGCCTTTCTGGGTGGTTTCTCTTGTGTCAGACCCAGAGAATATAAGCCCAGTGGCAGTGGAGGAGGCAGGGAGCCAAGAGCTCCTGGAAGAGCTGGGGGAACACAGATGTTTCCTGGTGGAGGTGGAGGAGGCGGAGGAGGAGGCACACAAGCTTGAGGTGGAGGTGGGCCTTTAACTCCTGGTAATGGAGGAGGAGGAGGAGGGGGAGGCACACAGGCTTCAGTTGGAGGTGGGCCTTTAACTCCTGGTAATGGAGGAGGAGGAGGGGGAGGAGGTGGAACCATGCCACGAGTAAGGGGTGGGACTAGGGCAGGAGGAGGAGGTGGAGGTGCAGCAAGACCATGATGGAGAGGTGGAGGTAAGGGAGGAGGTGGGGGTGGAGCCAGACAACCAGGGAGAGGTGGAGGAACTCCTAAACCTGGTGGAAGAGGGGGTGGAGGAGGTGGAGGAGGTGGGACTATTTCTGGTAATGGTGGAGGAGGAGGTGCTACAGTCTGCCCTGAATAAGGAGGGCAGACTCCACTTTCACTTCCCCCTAGAAGTGGGGGTGGAGGAGCAGGAGGCTGTAGCTGACACGAACACAGGTACCCATCATGACTGGGGGGAGGCTCCAGGAATCTGTCGACTCTGTCTGGCTCACTACAAGGCACTTTGAACTTTGAACTGTCATCCATTGGTGATGTCTGCACAGACTTTGCCTCCAAGCCTCCAACAGAGAAGGCCTCAGTCTGAAGATGAGCATCGCACACACCCCTTAGTAGGTCCTCTTCTCCTCCACATTCCCTGTCTGTGGTGGAGGTGGTGACTTTCATACTGTCCTTGTCCACCAGAGGGGGCAGTCGCTCCAGCTCAGCAATCTTAGTCCTGAGATCTTCTATGGTTTGTTCCAGTTGCTGGATGACATTAACATGTTTTTCCTTCAGTTTTATTGAAGGAAAAACACATTCTTCCTGTAGAAAATGCAAAACCATAAATTATTCCAGAATTTAAAAAAAAAAAATCATTAGTAAAACTAAAATTAGTATGGATTTTCTTTCATATTTATTACATATAAAGTGAAATAGTTAATGACTTTTTTATTGTAATTTTTATTTAATTGTTGTTCATAGGCTTAAAATCGGGGTGACTGTAGCTCAGGAGGTAGAGCATGTCATTTATTGATCAAAAGGTTGGTGGTTCGATCACTGGCTGCCAAATATCCTTGGGCAAGGTACTAACCCCAGTTGCTCTCCGATGCATTCATCAGAGATTGAATGTGTATGAATGTTAGGTAAAAACATTGAAGAAAGTTAATGTGGCATGTTGTATAAAGTGCTTTGAGTGCTCCCGAAGAGTAGAAAACATGAATAAGTCCATTTACCTATTTTAAATCTGGCATATAGTGTATGAAAATCCAACATTTCAAATTATTAAAATAATTCCTACAGGCAATCAAAAAAGTATTTACTGTACGATGCAAAGTTTTTGTTTTATAAGCCACCATCAAAATTAAAACAAGAAAAGGTTTAAATGTTTAACTTATATGTAATGCATATAGAGGTTATTAAAGTTTACCTTTAGTATAACATTTTTTTAACACTTAAACAACTTATTACATAGTAAGATATAGGGGAAGCCAGGAATCGAACCACCAACCTTCCAATCAGTAGATGACCTGAGCTACAGCCACCCCAAGTGGACATGACTTTGATTTTTACTGCACTAAAGAACGAGAGATGGTAAAGTTGAAAGGGCATCCAGCACAGAAACAGCAGCTACACAGAGAGCATTTTAACAGTAAGCTGGCCAGAGGGCAAGTTAATGCCAAGCTTCTTTTTTTAAACAAGGTTTTAGTGAAATATCTTTGTGAGAGCATCAAAGACATTATTCTAATATGCATTTCATTTTGGATATGTGTATATAAGCCCCAGATATTTGGATAACCTGGGCATATTTTTGCCGTCTGGTATTTGAAATTTTTTTCTCTTCATGAAGTTAAGTTTGTTATTGTGTGGGCTTCACTGCATATTTTTTGCCCCATTAATATCCCATTATTATCACCTCCATTTCCTCTGACAAGTACATTTTCAAAATGGACTTTGAAGTACTTGATGTACTTGTCAATTAAATTTAATTCCATAGCGTTTTTCCATTCTTCATGTCTTGTGAAAAAACGTTCTTAATTATGAAAAAACAGAAGTCTGCGTTGCTGAATTTGAACTCTTTTAACTGTTCAAATGATTTAATGCTTTTATTGTCATGAAACTGGTATAATGTATTGTTTGAACATGGTTATCGAACCCCATTTAGTTAATTATGTCTTAGTCAATCACTTATTAACATGATCAAGTAAACCATGATTAACTAAACAGGGTTTAGATAATTTATGTCTCTCACACTGCACCACATTTAAAAAAACATACAATCCAAATCTCTTTGCATGTGTTTCGTTGTACATATACAATGACAATAAAGGGTTATTCTATTCTATTCTATTCTATATGTGACAGTATATGCATTACATTATGACACTGTAAAACATTTACTTTTACGTACTTTGTGATGATCTTAATTGTGTGTTATTTTTTATATTATGACCATAGTAATGGCATTGATGTTTTTAAGCTCAAATTTGTAATGCTCTCTAAATTCTCTTAGAGCTGTTCTTGCATTACTTATAAACCAAAACTAATTTTGGATCATGTTGGAGTTGGAAAATCAAACAGCGTAGCCTTTAGTTCTTAATTTGAAAGAAAGAAAGAAAAGTGACTGACCTCTTTGTTTACATGTTGCTGCCTCAAACCCATGATATCTGCATGGAGCTCTGGACAAACAAACACACATAGGTCAGTGCAATACACAACAGAGGCAACCTAAGAACAAATGTGTCCAAATATCTATGGATCTAATTATATCTGTTTGAGTCAATCAGCTGCATGTTATTTATTTTTGTACAATAGTGATATAATACCAGTATTTTGTTTGTTTGTTAACTGCTTTTATTAGTTTTTATTTATATGTGCATTTTGGAGCATTTTCATTTAATCAGTTTGTCTTTCATTCAGTTTAGTTAAATTCTAATATTTTATTAGTCTGTTAATTGCCGCTAAGTACAAAGCAGTATCTGTTTCTGTGAATACAATTTGACAACGACGTTTGTTAGCGTTAAAACCTAAAAGTTTGAAAATGCAGTAAATCAAGAAACTTGTGCAGGACAACCAGAATACACCTGACAGCAACTCTGAATCCTTTTTTAATCATTGGATTTCATATTCTACAAGCATGTTTTGAGTTTTCAAACATTACAAACATTTTTCAGAATGACATTGCCTGAGCTCTTTTCCTGGCGTAACTCTTCAAGTTTCACCAAAGCAGGTCATCTGCCTCCATTTCTCGCCATCTCTAGTATTCTGTTTTGTTACACAAATCCTTCACATTTTCTTCATATCTTTTTTCACTATATCCATGAATCTTCTCTGTGATCTTTCTCTTTTCCTTCTGCTTGACAGCTCCATATTTATACATATGCATTTATGCATCCTTTATCTAGTATATTCAGTACTCCTCTTCTGCACATGTCCAACCCATCTCAGCCTTGCCTCTCTAACTTTGTCTTCAAAGCACTAAACTTGGTCCCTCTCATTCACACACATGCAGTCTGTCTTGCTTCTAGTGATTCTCATTCCTCTTCTCTCCAGAGCATTTTCCCACCTCTCCACGCTCTTTTACACCTGCTCTCAAATCTCACTACAGATCACAAGTAAGTAAAGTTTATTTTTATTAAGTGTTTTTCCGTATACAGGCAATCACAAAACGCTGTACACAAAGGCTAAAATAACCAAAATGTTTGGCACCAAAATACACAATATAGACAATACAAAAGTTTAAGATTAAAAAATTGTCAATCAACAGAAGGCTTGTTTAAACAGATTTTTTTGACTGCTCTTTAAAAGATTCCACAGAGTCAACCAAACGTAGCTGTGGTGGTAGACTGTTCCACAGCCTCCACACACTGATGATCCCCTTTTGTCTTCAGTCATGTTCGGGGAACAAACTCTGTGAGCAGAGACAACAAGCAGCTTGGCCATAAATGGGGCTTGGCCATTTAGTGATCTGTATGTTCAAACAAGGATTTGAAAACACATTCTAAAATCTATTGAGAGCCAATGTAAAGAATATAAAATAGAAATAATGTGAGCACTCTTGCTAGAAGGTGTAAGCAGTCTGGCCGCTGCATTTTGTATAGCTTGGAGGCGAGAAAGAGATGATTTGTCCAAATAAACAGGGCGTTACCATAATTTAAACACAACACAAATGCATGAATAATTTTTTTCCAGTTCAGCTGAGACCATTTTTCACAGTTTAGAAATTTTTCTTAAATAAAAGAAACAGGAACGAGACAGAGATTTGACATGTGAGTCAAGGCCCTGAGAAGAATCTAATATTACTCCAAGATCTCGAATGTTTGGCTTAGCAGAAGGACAGAAAGAAGCAAGAACCTGACTGGTTTTAGAATGTAGTTCAAGAGGAGCTGTGATCATGGTCTCAGTCTTGCTTGTGTTTAAAACAAGGTAACTGCTAGAAAGCCCAGTAGAAACCTGAGTTAAGCACTGGACTAGGTTGGAAAACCTATCCAGCTGATGAGGCTTAAAGGAGACACGCAGCTGAATGCCATCGGCATAGAAATTATAAGAAATGTCACTAAAAGATTGAATAAAGCCAGCTAAAGGAAGCATGTAGAAAGAAAATAATGATGGACCCAAAACTGAACCCTGTGGAACCCCGCAGGTTAAGGGGGCAATGTCAGAGGAGAAGCTGTCAGTCCTAGCAGAAAAGGTCCTGTCTGATAAGAAGGGGAAAAAAACAGTCTAAGGCACAGCCAGTTATACCCGCCAAAATCTTCAGCCTGTTAAGTAGCTGATCGATGGTATCGAAGGCTGAGATTCCCTGCATCAGAAGCCATTAATAGATCATTATAGACCCTTAAGAGAGCAGTCTCAGTGGAGTGCTGCTTTTGAAAGTCAGACTGAAAAGGGTAAGCAGTCTGTAATCTGCATAGTAAGGACCTGAACTGATTTTCTGCAATTTATTCTAGTAATTTGCTTATAAATGGTCATTTTAAATAGGCCGATAATAGTAGAGCTGGGATCTAGATTCTGTTTTTTCAATAGAGGAGTTACCTCGGCATGTTTAATATGTCTAAGGAGCATCATGAGGATTTCATTTTACCTACAGTATTACTGTAATTAAGTCATTGAGTCTGATTGGAGAAAAAGAAGTAAATGACCCAGACACCAAGGGCCATCTTCATAAGGGAAGGCACTTAAGGAGAATTTGGATCTCGAGTCCATCACCTTATTTACAAAGTGATTGAGAAATGTGTCTTGATGCATTCTCAGTCATCCAGGTAAGTAAATCTCCAAAAGTTGATCCTGTTCATCTGGACGTTTCTCCCACTGAAAACGCTACGTCCAGATGAACAGAATCAACTTTTGGAGACTGAGAAAAGTATCATCAGAAAGTAACACAGCATGCTGAGATGGAGGAGAAACAATACTATTAATAGTCTCAAATAGTACTTGGATTATTCTTATGATGATTTATACGTTTATTGAAATAAGAGGATCTAGCCTCTTTCACTGACTCATTATATAAGTGAAGAAGTTCTTTGAAGTGTTCACGATGAACAATCAGACCAGTGGACCAGTGAATAAACACAGTGGTCCAGACGGTCTGCTTTTCGGCAGGAACGTCAAAGACCACAAGTTTGATCATTTAACCAAGGTGTGCAGGAACTAACAGAGCAATGCCTAGTTTTGAAAGGAGCAACCTGACTGAGAATGACTAGTTATTGGTCAGTAAAAGAGTTAAGAAGGAGCTTGACATTGTCAGAAGAAGTTTTACAATTAAAAAGGGAAGAAAACTTAGAAATCATAGCGTCATCAATAAAGTGCCTGCGCTCAACAAAACCTTGGGGAAGAGACTCAAATGTCCAACCTCACATACTTTTCTGCCACTCTTGGCTTACATCATATTCTTACATCATAATCATCTTCTGAGTAATAGCTTTTGTGAAGCAAAAAGCCAGAAATGAATAAACACGAAGAAAGTGTAAAATGTTTATATGCATTTTTATATAAGCGAGATGACAAGATTGGTATCTTTCACATGTTTGTGTGTTAGCCTACCAAATCATAAAGATTGCAAAACAATCAAAAGTGTAAAGCTTACTTCGCAAAAAGTAAGAGTAAGAGTTTTTAAAAATTGTAATATACAGAATTCAATCCAGCTGTAACAAAAGGGTTAGTTTGTTTCAGTGTTTGGTATAACCTTATGGTAATAATGTGTTTTTGTTTGTTTATATAGAGCCAGGACCACAGAATAAACACTGTATCAGTTTTAGGGCATGCACAAACCACCAACAAGAACTACAGATTAGACTACAGAGCAGTGCTATTCTTACCTGATTGTGCAGATTGAAGTCCATTCCTGTTATCTCCACCTGGTTTGGCTTGAGGCCAAGGGCCTTTAATCTGAATTGGTTGTTTCCCCTCACAGAGATCCAAAGAGTGTGGTGGCTGGTTGACAGCTGCCCATGTGTAAAGCTGGTCGTGCTAAGTAAACATATTTTTTTTAAAAAACAGTTACAGTTGCACTTATCCTCATTTCACAAATAAATCTCCACATTTGGAAATGTCAATCATAAATACTCGTTTTTAGAGAGCTGTGCAACTCCAGTCCTGTGTACAAAGTCCAGTCAAACAGCAGTCACAGTTACAGCTTAGAAATCACAAAATTTGTTTTCCTTTTCTTGTTCATGAGTTGATCCTGTGTGGAACACTTAGTACCTTTGTGCATTATGCTTTCTGTTTATTCTTAAAACATGTTTGCTTGTTCATATTAAAGCCAGTATTACTGGTGACCCTAATTGTAAGGACAACAACAAGTCCAGCTTAACTAACTCATCATTTGCTATATAGTATACTTAGTACAGACAGTACAGTTTTCTTAAAAATCACAAATTTTACACGCTCTTCAGTACCATTTCATTAAAAGTAACGTTTTGCAGCTGTTTTCATTGAGTTTGACCATTTCTATGCCAGAAGTCAGTGCAGCTGGATGAACTTTGTCTCTGTTTTTAATCAGCGAAAATCACTGAGCACAGACGATTCAAACAAGAGGCTGTTCTTCATTTCTTTCGCATTCCCTTTGATACAGTTAAAAAATATTCAGGTTGAATAAACAACAGTGGCACAGTCTCTATGCTATTCATCAAATATGCAGGTGCATCAGGTTGCCTTTGTACTTGTTAATGTTGTTGGCATCAGCTACACAATGGACCTAGAGCGAGCACAACAGAGCCAGCAGTGCACGGGCAGGAATGCATTTCTTACTTGGAAATTCCGACACCACTTAAAGAAGCAAGGAATGGGCGGAATCTGACCCTTCAATGCAAACTCTGTTTGCCAGCAACCAAGCTGCTCTTAAAAGAACCCAACCTTAACAAACATCTGGAAGTAATTTCTTTTTAAAAACTAACGTTAGCCTACTGCAAATACCTTGTTTTAGTTGTGGTAGCTACCTGGGTTATGTGTCACTTCAGTGTCTTCCATGTACTATTGCTGTGTGATTTATTACTATTACTGAAGGCTACTCACCACCGAGCTAACACTGTTAGCTGGCGTTACCTGAGGTTAGTTCATAGACTGCAGACCATTAGACTTGATGAATAGCATTAACAACCTGCTAGCTGCAAATTGTCATGTGCAGTTCAGTAATAGTAATAAATCACACAGCAATAGTACATTCATGTGAGAAGCATGACAATATATTAAGCAATCCAAAGTATTCAGAATACGTTACTCTCATTGGGTAACCCAACAGAATACGTTACAAACTACATTTTGGGGCATTTATTCTGTGATATGTAGTGGAATACAAGTTTAAAGTAACCTTCCCAACATTGTCTATCATTTAATATAATGATAGTGCCAACATATGCCCTTTTTCATCTGAAATAGCCTCCCATAAAATATGACAATGAAAATAATTCACTGCTAACATGAGAAGATAGGGGTGTGGTGTAAAACTACATACATCGAACTTGGGTGATGCGGTGGCGGTGATGTGGGTAGTGCTTCCCCCCAGCTGTTCTCTGAAGCAGTCTGTGAATGGCAGCAGGAGGCCCATTGCTAAGATCCTAGAGCAGAGCCTCTCAGCCTCCTCTGGCTCATCCGCTTGCTGTTGCAAGAACAGCTTCTCCAGAAGAGTTCGACCTGGACATCAGGGAGAAAACAGAAAAACAGAATTTTTTGTGGGACGTACAATGGCACAAAGATTCGTATCAGGCTACCATAATGTGCACTGGCTACCTACTCCTTCTAATCCTTAGGATGGGCGAAAGGCAGAGATGGATCAAAAGGGATATTTTAACTGAAACTGTTCACTGATCAATTGTGTACAACTCCCGGCAAAAATCGCCATATTTGTCGGATGGTCTTTCAGTTTTGTTTTGTTTTGTTTTTTTACTTTCTTTTTGTTATATAGCAGAATATTTAGATTTCTGTGACGTGTACCTCACAAACTTTTGTATATAACAGGATATTTTTAAAATGGTTTAAAATGGAGCACTGTAACAAAAAATAATTTCCCCCAGGGATCAATAAAGTATTCTGATTCTGATTCTGATTCTGATTTTCCAGATTAAGTCGAAGAAAAATATGTATTCACTTACTGTTCAGCAAAAAAGTGGAATTATCATTTTAAAAAATCACAATTATTATGATACCTTTTCCACCTCCTGGCTCAGCTTTTTCACTAATAAAACCAACCTGGTTCCACGTTTCTCAGCTAGTAGCTGACATCAGCTTTGCTGCGTGGAGCTTTGTCATGGAGTCTTCACTTCACCTTCTTTAAAAAGATATGTGTTTTTTAAAGAAGTGGTTTGACACTCTCATCGACAAAATCTATTATTATCCTGAAAAATGACATCATCATCACCAAACCCATGTTCTGAATTTACTGATGTGATGACAGCATAATTTTGACTAGCGCATATTTGTGACTCAACAATGGCACTCAGCAGTCTACTTTTCCTTTGAATTTTTTGAATGTCAATATAATTTTATTCAGTGTAATTCGTACAGATCTGTCACAAACACTGACATCTCTGTCTACACATTTTTGTTTGGATGGTTTGTGGGGTTGTTTGTGGACTTTCTATTTTCTTTGAGTTTTCTCTCCTGGTGCTTTGAGATCTTCCATCTAGCCAAACATTTTCCTTTTACAATGTCTGTTGTTTGTTTCCATCCATCCTTTGATATTCTTCTGTTTACACAATTAAGGGTTGTGGGAAACTGGACAGCTCACCAGTCTGTCACAAACATGTTTTGTATTGTGAACCAGAATGACGTTTTTCACATTTTAGTATGAGGCTGCCATATTAAAGCAAAGTACCTTCATGTACCACAACTGCTACAGCACCTTACTGAGGTTACTGAGACATTACCCACTATGTCCAATGGTCCTGAGTCGTTGCCCAGATGCTGCTGATGTTTTGGACTTTGTAGTTTTTTGATTCATTGCTGAGTTTTTACCTTTTTTTACCATATATTTTCCTTAGTGCAGTTAGTCTTGTTTTCACTTTCTGGTTGTGATTAGTTTATTTCTTGTTCTGTCTTTATTTGTGAGTTATCCTATATTAAGTTGTGTCTGTGTTTCCCTGTTTGGTTATCACATATCACTCCCTGTTTTATTTGGATAGTTATTTTTACCTTTTGCCTTGCTTTTAGTTTTACTTCACCCTTGTCTCGTCTTCTGATTCAGTGTGTCTTGTTTTCTCTAGCTGTTTCCACTGCCTTATAGAGGTGGGAATCACCAGATACCCCATCATCTGATAAGATACAATACCACTGCATTACAATCAGTGTATTACAATAACATGTGTAAATGATAAATGGCCTGCATTTGTATAGCGCTTTTCTAGTCATTAAGGACCCCAAAGCGCTTTACACTACATTCAGTCATCTACACATTCACACACAGGTGATGGCAGCTACATTGTAGCCACAGCCACCCTGGGGCGCACTGACAGAGGCGAGGCTGCCGGACACTGGCACCACCGGGCCCTCTGACCATCACCAGTAGGCAAACATGGGGTTAGTATCTTGCCCAAGGATATTTGGCATGCAGCTAGGAGGCAGCCTGGGATCAAACCACTGACCTTCTGATTAGTGGCTGACCTGCTCTGCCACCTGAGCTACAGCCATGTATTGTGGGATATCACCTATTATGTCTTCACAGTTAAGCATTCTCAATATCAGTTTTATCCAATAATATAAAGTGGCATGCCAGCACTGTCAGTAAAGCCTGAATAAATGTTGTTAGAATATGAAGTCAGTCTGCTCTCCAAAAGTTGATCCTGTTCATCTGGACGTAGCGTTTTGGGGAAACCTGCAGTCAGCTGAGACTGAAGAAGTCACCTGGACGAGTGATGAAACGTTTCTCCCACAAAACGCTACGTCCAGATGAACACAATCAACTTTTGGAGATTTACTTTCCTGGATGATTGAGAATGCATCAAGATCTGATTTGCCAGTCATGAGATGTATTTATCTCAGAACTGCCACTGAAAATTTGGTTATGATTTGCCTGTCAGATTTGATCCAAATGTAGCCCAATAAGGAGTCTGTTTGCTTCATAATATTGCCATAAAGTTCCCAGTTGCATCAGCAGCACCTCACTAGCACAAGCAGCAAGCAGAGCCATCTGGCCTTTACTGATGTCAAACAGCTTGACAGAAGTTCATATAGAGTTTTTTTAAAACTCTTTAAATATTCCCAGAGTGATATAGGGACCTGATATAGGATCTTGCATATAGTATTAACCCTTTTGACTAAGTAACAAGTTAAATAATTCCTGCTTACACCCACACATGTCCACACACTGTTTAATACTCACCTGTAAAGACATCCTGAAAACCACAAGTAGATACTTGTCCACATGAAAATCTTCTCGTTCCACAGATGGGCTGGCTGCCTCCTCCTGTGTGGCCCCCCAAATATTCTCCTGAGCTCAGTAAGCCACCTCCATCTTCCTCCTTGCCTCTCAATCGCCTGTCTAGTTCCTCTGTCCAGTCAGCTGAGCGACTCAAAGGGCTAGCAAGGCTTCTGGAGCGTTTTCTGCGCACCTGCCAACCTTCAGCCATCATCCTGTAACATTTATGTTCCCGGTTAGCTTAGCTTTGCAAGTGCATTTCTTGCAATGTGTTTACAGTTAGTTTTACTTTTCCACAGTTTTCTGATTTCTTCCATTTTAGGCAAACTGACAGAGCCTTCATCCTCTCCATAGATAAAGTGCTCAACTAAACATTAAAACGCATGTTTACAGCTTAGTACAAAAGCGTTTAGCCTCTGTGGACCATTTCCTTCTTGTAGACACAGTGAGATCATCCAAAATATCACAGAAAGATGATTTGCATCCAATAATCAGTGAACACATTAAACTACTGTATTACTTCACAATCGTTTGTTGAGAAAAATGTTATTACAGAAACACTCAGATGTTTGTGTAATAATGTAATGTTCATCTTGAGTTTAGCCATGAGTTCAGGAATTGACATGAAATTCTTACATATGTCAGTAACAACTCATCCAATCTATACATGTAAAGAGAAATCAAACCATAGAGTTCCATAAATTATCTGCAATACTGAAAAATGACCCAAAGAAAAACTATTAAATACATGAAGAAAGAGAGTGTGGAAAAAGGCACAGAAGGTTACATTACACCAGCTAAACTCTATGAGTGATTAAAAAGCAAGTCTGCCACTTAGTGCAAATTAATACAAGTGAGTTAGATCCAGACTAGACAGTGGAGTGAAAAGAATCATCATAAGAGTTCTCCAAGTGCCAAGCATCACTTGTGGAGCGCTAAGGTGCAATTGTTTTAGAAAACAATAAGCAATGCACTCAACTGCCATGACAGGCATTGCTCACCATGCAAGACTCAATTACTGAAGAAAAAGCATGTTTAAGCACATTTAAAGTTTGCTTAACAACATTTAGACGAGTGGAATACTGGGAGAACTCTTTAGATGCCATAATACACAACATGTTTGAGGGTCAAATATGCTGCATATCACCCCAAAAAACCACCAACAGTGAAGTTTGGAGGGGGGAACATCATGGTGTGGGGCTGTTTTTCAGCATACCACACTGGCACGTTTCATATAATTAAGGAAGGATGAATGGAAATATGTACCAAGATATTCTTGACCAAAACCTGTTGCCATCTACCAGGATAATGAAGATGAAATGAGGGTGCACATTTCAACAAGACAGAGAAGAAAACAAGAAAACCAAACGTTTCAGAGAAAGAAAAGAAAATGGCTAGAATCCTGCTGACCTGAATCCAACTGAAAAGAACTAAAGCTCTGAGTTCATAGAAGGGTCCCATCGAGCACTCAAAATTTGAAGACTGTTTGTGTGGGCCGAAATCACACTTGAGCAATGAATTTCCTCCATGCAACTGTACAAAAGTCCTTGTTAGTGATGACAAAGTATTAAAACGTTTTCAGTGTGTTCAATACTTTTTTTCCTGAGTCATTTCTCATTATTATAAATACCCTAATTTATGCACAACTATGGTTTGATTTCATTGCATGTGTGAATTGGATGGGTTGTTACCAACATCTGGTGAGAATTTCATGTCAATAGCACCTTTAGAAATATATATATATTTTAGAATACTGACGACGTATACAGTACTTATTTTAAACACTAAATACGTCCTTGATCTAGTGGTTTGCTTACAGTCTAGCAGATCTCTCATTATTAATGCCTTTTACTACAAGAAAATTGCTCAGTGCCACTTTGCCACAAACCTATGTTTCTAAAACAATGAAAATAACAGCGAAAATGTTGAGATTATTCTTGAAAATAAGAGAAATTATGAAAACGAAAAGAATATAGTCTGTTTTAATCCACGTGGGGCTAAGATTTGAGTTTTTTGTATGTGCTAAATAGGCTAATCTTGTTAGATGTTACGTTTTAAATTAGGTCTCATATGATCATTTTGACATTACAGTGCTTTAAAATTCTAGAACCAGTATCAGCCATGCAAACAACCAGTACCTGTGAAAGTTATGGTGAGCTCTGCGTGGGGAGAGGGGGCTATGAGATGGTGAGTGCCCTGGGGAACTGAGCTGTCTTGTAGTGGTTTTGATGTAGGACGGGAAGATGGGAGGGTAAGGTTTCACCACAGGACTAGAGCAGGTGGCGGGGTGGGCAGACTTGAGGAGGCGTTTGGCCAATGTGGGGCTCTCCTGAGGAAGTAGTGGGCTAAAGCAGGCGCTGCTCCTCCTAAACTGCTGGTTGGAGGGGGAAGCCTTGGTGCTGGTAGAGGGGCTGGGTTCAGAGTCAGCACTTAAGCAGTCCTCAAGAGACTCAGCGCTGGTACCTGAGCCTAAGTGAATCTCACCTTCTTCAAATACAGTTCTTGAACTCAGTCCCTCTAGTGGCTCAGGACTTCTATGGTTGTCGTCTGGCAGTGGAAGACTGAGATTAGCATCCATCTCAAGCTCCCTCACCTGCTCCTGCTGGGTTTCAGCACTTGCTCCCTCCTCTTCCCCTGTGATTTTCCCAGTGCTGTCAAATGTAAAATCGTGGAAACTGTTACCAACAGTTGTCATGGTCACCGGGCAGACTGTTGCCCCCCCTTCAGTAGCTATGGAAATATCTGTGTGAGGGCGCTGCTGAAGCAAAGCATGCTGGTCTTTTGTGCCTGTGGAAACACAAAGAGCAGCTTCTCTTTGCCCCTGCCCCTTTAGCTCCAGATGCCTGTCCTCATTCTTCTCAATAACCTCTGCGTTGAAGGGGCTATTCTGTGTGGGAAGTGGCTCGTTTTGCTTGACAGAGCCAATAATAGATCCTCCCTCCAGGAATGACAAGGCATCAGACCCCAGCTCTAATTCTGGGGTCAGGTCAAGCACCTCAGGAGGAGTTAATTTAACTACCCCATTACTCTGTTTCCTCCTATCCTTTCCTTCCCCCCAAATTAGATTCCTTCCTCCCCCTCCTTGTGTTTCCACAATTGAGGTAACCCCCCCATGCTGCTGTTGCTGGAGCCTTATAGCGAGCTGGATATCCGCAAGCAAATCCTCATGGTCAGCTGCTGAGTGGAAACTGTAGATATCAGTGTCTGATCCTGAGCTCCCTCCCTTCTGCCCTCCATCTTCTGCAGGAGAGTTTGCGGTCGATGCTTTCTGCTGCATCTCATGCTTCTCGTCTCTCTCATCTCCATCATCCCTTTTCCCCTGCTTCTTTCTCTTCTCAGGAAAGGCAGCCTCAGTGTCCGACTGCCCCAGCTCATCTGCAGACAGATCAGGTGTTTTTGTGCTGTCCAGCTCATCGTGCTGAGATGCTAAAACATCCTCTTTTGAGCCTTTCACTGATGAACACACGTCTCCTTTTCCTTTAAGGTTACCCTTTCGCTTCCGGATGGAGAAAACAGAAGACTTGGACTCTGATTTATTTTTATTTTTTAGTCCTGTGCCGTTCGTCACTCCCCTTCCTCCTGCACTGCCTGTTCCTTTACCTCCATGTTTACCATGGAGTTTCTTTCCTCCTTTTTTTACGTCCCCTCCCCCCTCTCTCCATCCTTCATCTAGCGATGGGTAGCTTCCGTTGCTTGATGCTGCTGCTGCTTTCTTTTGCTTTGTCTCTTGGTTACCCATGTTGATGGAGCAAGAAAGCTCGATGACTAGCTGCAGCTTCCTCAGGTCATGCCTAGAAGAGCTTCTAGGACAATATTTAGATGCTCAATTTCAAGCTTCTTGCCCAATTTGTGGATGCACGTCTGGTGAAGGAGGAGCCGCTGCTGCGGCTGCTGCTGCTATTGATGATTGTTCTTTTAAGCTCTCCTGTGTGACGATCTTCCTTGTTGTTTTCCGGTGACGAAGGCTCGCGTGGCAGTGATGTTGACACTGATGCAGAGTAGACATATGGCTCCCTCTTCTTCCACCCCTTTCTCACTCTGTGTTACCCTCCCCCTCATCTCCATCTGCTGAAAGGAATGACGCAGGCACTGTGTGCTCAGTAGAGTGCTTTTTTGTGAGGTAGACTGGGAGAAATGGAAAGACTGGGATGGAGGCACAAATCTTTCAGGACCTGGGAAGAATAAAGGTGCTGCTGGTAGCTCACACACTGTGCAGCTGGGGATAGGTTATAAGGGCCTTCATGTTGGTCTTTGAACTAAAAACCAACATGAAGGATAGATTTTTCTTAATAAAAAAAACAGTTATTAAAATATCTGTCAGAAATAGTCAAAGCTGAATAAGATTACAGTTTATAAGCTGAAATGGATCATATTCTGTGTGGTTCAGACCATATAAATATATTGTCTCATAGCAGTTAGCCCCACTAACTATAATGTCAATGTAAAAAAGAACTTGCAAATGAAAAGGAAGATTGTGTTTAAAATGTGTAGTGGCAGAAAAAACGGTTCTTTCATTCAGTTGATGAGCTGAACTGAGACTTTTAACTTACTATAACAGAAAAACCTGAAAATAGAGACGACTCTGAAAGGACTTAATCAGATTTAAACCTGTGCATCTGTGAATACTTTCAGCCTCAAATGCACTTGAATTATCCATTCAAAGAGAGTTGTTCACAGTGGAAACACATGGGCTCTTTAATGACTCTTCTTTGTGAAACATCTTTAGCAAGCAAGCAATTTATTTATATAGCACTTTCAGAACAACACAGCTGAACACAAAGTGCTGTACACTTGGCATGCCACAAATGATACATGAATAAGTTTAAAAAAGGAGAGAGAGATTTACTCAAAATAAATAAATAAAATAAATAAAAACTTAAAATAATACATTTAGCACAAAATAAAAAGTATGCAATGATAATTAGAATTAAAAACAATAAAATGAGCACAATAGATTAAGAACAATAAAATCAATAAAATCAGGGTCATACTACAGAAGCGTAGAGCTGCCACCCAGGCAAAAGAAAAATACAAGTGTATCACGTTATAACGTGAAAAGTTTATTGTTCTAACAAGATACTTTTCCTGTTTGTACAATATACTATCATATTTGTACAATATACTTTTCACGTTTGAACAACATGATATCACGTTATTACAATATACATAATTATCACGTTCGTACAATATGAATATTATATTGTACGAACGTAAAAAAAATACCATTACAATAACATTTTTTATTGTAAGAACGTAGAACGTGTTGTGTTCGGAAACCCAAATCCATGGTAGTTGTGGAGAGCTCATGCTCTTCTGAACTGGCACTTAACTTTGAATGCCCTGCTTTCAACATGGACACAAACACTGATAGCCCACTTCTGAGATTTCTTCGGAATCGTGGTGTACCTGAGGACTGTCTCATACGAATGCTACAAGAACACGTAAGCGCTCTCTTGAGGGGGAAACTTGTAAAACTCGCTTTTTACGAAGTTACAGCGTCTAAAAATATGACATATTGCTAAGTTAGCAACCACAGCGGTTTTCGCTTCTCTCGCTTTGACTGCGTAAGGACGTAACGGTAGGCTGCATTGGTGTGGATCTATATGGAATGGAGAATGTAAAACAAATTAACCCGCTGTATAAAACTGGGTCGTTGTATGACCACATGTTACTACTTAACCCGTATGCAGATTCCAGGTTTCTTAAATATATCACTATATTATGTGATGCACAATGTTTCCTTGTTTATCTAAAAACAAATGAATTAAACTTTGTTTATATTGATATTTGGCTTCAATTAAAAAAAAACAGTGAGTTCAACCCTTTGTGCTCTGTGCAACTGAAAGATATGTGAATACTAATTTACTTTTTCAAAGGTGGGCGTTGTATATACTGTAATATTTCTATTAATAACATGTTAGAGAATCTCATTAATGTTGCAGGCATAGAGAGAGGAAAAGAATAAATGCTAAATATTGATGCCTGCCACTAAAATAATAACAGACAATTATCAAAACACATGTTAAATGTACATACATTTTTTAGTGAGGTACCTCATGTGGTGTGGCAGCAGGTATACCTTGTACTTCTGTATAGTAATAAATATCTCTGTTATTACAGATTGATGTCACAGTGATTGATTTCATGGATGACAAGACCCTGTCTGGTTACATCCCAACATATGGTGACCGGATAGCTGCCAGACGGTTCTGCTTGGAAAACAGTGGTGCAAGTACTAAGGAATCAAGAAAAAACTCATTGCTCGAAAAATTAAAGGAAAAGATGGGAATCAATGAAAATGAGAAGAAACCTGATCATGAGGAGGCATTTGTTTCTAAGAGAAAAAGAACATATGCAAAAAACAACAAATGGGCTGAGAAAAAGACTCGAAAAATTGAGTTAGGGTGGATCCATGAAGGTAAGCAAGTGAGAAAGCGCAGAGGAGGAGGAACAAGGACCTTTGATGTGCCCAAAGACTCCAAAAAAGCTGACATATTACAGTATGCTAAAGATCTTTTCTTTCCAAGTGGAAAAAGCAAATTTGGAAGATGGGAGGTGTTCAGTCATGACATATTAGACTATCAGGAAGAGGCCGTATTTGATGAAGATGTCACAGTTGGAGAACTCTATTCAGCACTTAAAATGGGAATGTTGAGATTTTACTCTTGCACAAGAAGATTTTCCAATGATGAAAATGGAGATGAAGAAGCTTCTCACACTGTTGTGATCTCATCATCAGAATCTAGGAATGCTGATGAAGATGTATTATTAGACACATCTGAGGTAATGATTGGACCCCACCTTGGAGAGCCTCTGCCTTGTCAACTTGATGACACTGTAATAGATGAACCATTCCTGCAGTTTGAGGAAGATGATCTGGTCATCACATCCATTACACTTCCTCCAACAAACACAGCAGTCAGTAGTCCAGATACATCTATAAGCAATGAAGCAATAAGCTCTGCAGGATCATATGATGTTGTCTGTGTTACCACCAAACTTCACAGGGTTACTATTCTGGAGGAGATGATCAGCCAGTTCAAAGATCCAGCACTCCTCATACACCCTCTAAAATACACCTACATTGATGAAAAAGGAGCTGATGCAGACGGTGTAGCAAGAGATGTGTATGCTGCATTTTGGTCAGAGTTTGTGGACAACACAGCTGAAGGAGAGGAGTGCAGAGTGCCATCACTGTCTCCTAAATGGCAAGAAGAAGAGTGGAAATCCATGGGTAGAATTTTACTGAAGGGATTTCAAGACCATGGATATTTCCCTTGTCGCCTTGCTCCTGTTTTCACAGTGGCACTCATCTTCGGTGAGAATCAAGTATCAGATGATCTGCTGTTTGAAAGTCTTCTCTTTTACCTAAGTCAATCAGATAGGGATCTGATAACAAGGGCACTAAAAGAAGATCTTTCAGATGAAGACAGGGATGAAGTGCTGGATCTCATGGATCGCCTGGATGTATCAGTGCTTCCAACCAAAGAGAACTTAAAAGGCCTTCTTCTGAAAGTCGCACACAAACAATTAATCCAAAAACCAGCATATGCCGCAGAGAAAATGTCCTTAGTTGCAAGCTACTTCCTAAAAGAAGCTTTTCAAAGCCCACAAGATGTCCTACAAATGTATGAGGATAAAAAGCCAAAAACAAGAAAGCTTTTGAAGTTGCTTACTGCCTCTCCCACCACTCAAGCAGAGAAGCAGAGCTTCAGATTTCTGCACCAGTACATCAGAGGACTTGATGATACAGGGCTCAGAAGGATGTTCAGGTTTCTTACTGGGTCAGATGTCATCTGTGTTGACAAGGTTGAGGTACTGTTCACGCCTGTGGATGGACTGGCACGACGACCTGTGGCACACACATGCGGCCCTCTTCTGGAACTACCATGGACATACACGTCCTACCCAGAACTACGAAATGAACTGGACAATGTTTTGGCTGCTAAAAGCTCTTATGAGTTCAGCATAGCTTGATTAAAGTCCATCATGTTTAAACCAAAGAATGAAAGGTTTGCACTAACAATGACTGGCTATGAAGCTCTAAAGTTTGTTAAACCCAAAAACAGGGAATACATCATTGTATAAAAAAAGAAAGAGCTTAAATTTCAGGGAAGTGTTTTATTTCATATTTGAATTTATTTTCAAAAATTGTGGATAACATCAATTTGTTTCCACCATGAAAAATGTAAATTTCAGTTTAAATTTTCATACTTAAAAGTTTTACTAGTTTAAATGTTAACTAATTATGTTTAATAAGTTCATATGGTTAGCAGCAAGAGGTGAACTATGCTTATTATTAGTTCTTATCATGTGTCAAGGTCCTTTTCCACAGGTCTGTGGTGCAGTTTTGTAGGATACAAAATGTCTACTATAGAGGGGATGTTTTGTTTAGTAATAATTCAATTCAATTATTTTCAAGTATATATTTTTTACCTTTCCACCAGTCATTTGTTTAGAACATATTTTAAGGGAATAACTTTGGAAGGCAATGTGTTTGATGCAATAGTTGACTGGAATAAAAGACAGAAAATTGGCACATAAGTTAAGTTTTGTAGTGTTTATCAAGAGTCCGTGTTTTCTTCTCCTTGAACACAAATAAAAGGGAGGTTAACATCTAACAGTGTCTGTTAATTATTAAATAATGCAGAATTTTTACATTTACCAGTTTACAAGAAACTGTTCGTGGATGAATAGCAGTTGCACAATGTGTTCAGTAAAATTGAAAACAATATTTCATGAATGATAATGTATAGGATCAGCAGTTTAAAAAATGTTTTTTTGACAGTCTTAAAACAGAAATCAGATATAATAGAAATTCCGTTAAAAAATAATTGGAAATGCCAAAAGGTTGGAGTACGCAGATTTGGTTAAATATATTTAGACATGCTTGCTTGCTACTATCTTCAACCGAAAATCCAAACAAAACTAGAAAAAAATTTGCATTTCCTGCGAAAATGCAGTGTGGATGCCTTAACGCTGAAGATGTCTGCTGAAAAAAGCTGAAAAAGTTGAAACAAAAAAAAATAAAAAAAGCTGCCCTGAGCA